CTGTGGAACAGTCTATTTGCCCAAGAAGGCTGGCTGAGTCTTTATTTAAAGGAGCACTTTTAAACTACCCTGACTATGAGATTGTTGTTGTCCAGCAGTTTTTCAGTTGTGTCTGACTCCTCATGACTGGAGTGGTTTGTTATTTCCTTCTCCAGCTCATTTTACAGATGAGGAAACTGAGGCAATCAGGGCTAAGCGACTTGCCCACAGTCACCCAGGTAGTCAGTGTCTGAGGCCAGATTTGAACTCAAGAAGATGAGTCTTCCTGACTCCACGGCCAGTGCTCTATCCACTGTGCCACCTGGCTGTCCTATGAGATTAATGTATGAGTATGAGATTAATCCAATCTAAAGCTGGATGACAATAAAACAGAGGCCAAAGGTTGACTTACTAGATCTCCATGATGGAAGGGACTTGTCAGGTAGTGTGCTGAAGTGGTAAGAGCACCCGAATGAGGGCTCGAGACACCTGGGTTCTGGTTCACTAACTTCCCTTTCCTGGAGTTGGACAATCTGGGCTGGAATCTGTTCTCTGCTACTTATTATCAGTGTGACAGTGGGTGAGTCACTTCCTCTCTCTGACCCTCAGTTTCTTCATCCATAAAATTCTGTGATCTTGTGAGCTCTAAATTTCCTCTTCTTTAATTGAAGCCTTCTTAGTTCCTTTGATCAATCATCAAAACCATGTTCTATGAGTTCCTTCATCATGCCAGTCTCCCTCCTGCCAGAGCTGCCTATACCCCAGCTTGTCAATAACCTTCTTGAAATTTAGTGAAAAGAACACTGGATTGGGAATCTGGGGATACTTCTAGAAGATTCCCTCCACAATCACGTCTCTCCTCCTCCCCCCACCCCATTATTCAATCTCTTCCTTACTTCTGGTTTCTTTTCAGTTACCTCGAAACACAAACACCTCCAAACTTCTGTGGCCTAGCCTTTAAAAAAGGTCACAAAGTCAACCTTCCCTGATGGTTCTCCTCCATCTCTTCTCCCCAGAACTCCTTCAGAAAACCATCTATTCTCAGTGCACCCTCACTTCCTCTCCTCACTCTCTTCCTAACCTTTTGCAACCCAGCTCCACAGTCACTACTCAACTAAAAATGCTTTTTCCAAAATTCCCAATGAGGCACAATGACACATCTCTTCTCCCCGCTCTCCCTTTCACATCTGACACCGTCGATCCTTTTCTCCGGGTACTGTCCTCTGGAATATCATGACAGTATTCTCCCATGATTCTTCTTCCTATCTATATGACAACTTCTCAGCCTCCTTGACTAGGTCACGATCTGTATCATATTCCCTAAGTGTGGCTGAACCTCAAGGCTTTGTCTTGGGTCCCCTTCTTTCTCTATACTCCTGTAACTTAGTGACATCATCAGCTTAAATTTATTTAATTTATAATCTCTAAGTAGATGAGCTATAGATATAGCTTATGGATGTTTCTCTGGAGCTACAGTCCTATTTTAACAAACAATTTCACTGGAAATAGAAATTTGGTCACGTTGGGAATTGGATCTCCTGTAGGAATCTTATTCTCATCATGTTGCAGAGGGGATTTATGGGTTCTTGTTCAGACTCAAATTGGGCTACATATGGGCTCCCAGGTCCCTCCAACTCTGAGTTTTTGGCTCCGTGTTGCCAGGCAGAACTGAGGCTAACCTATCACAAGCAGAGGCAAGGAAGGGTGGAACTTACTCTCAGGCATCTCTAGGGCAATAAAAAAATTTCCCAACTTATCCTTGGACATTACCTAACCACCCTTCCTATCACCAGCTCCTCCTCCAAAGCAAACATGTAAGGGGGGAGTTGGGGGTAGACAGCAAGACACACCCAGAGCTCTTAAGTCATACTTTGCTCCAAAGGGCTCTTTTAGTTTTCTTCTAACAAACATTTCTTAAGCTCCAGGCTTCCCATCAAAAGAAGGGAGGCCTGCACCAGACTTATCTCAAAACATTTCCTGTTTCTTCCTCAGCAGCTGAAAATGCCTGCAAGCAATGGCGAGGCAGCCACCAAGGGAAGAGCAGCCGGGATAGTCACTCATGACAGCCTCTAGTCCTGAAAACGCCCTTTGCTCTGGAATTTGATGTCCTGCCTTTCCTGAAGACAACTCGACCAGTGTCTCCTGGACCGGGGCCCACCCTCAAGACACTATCTCTACAGACAAATGTTGGCCTTGCTAGGAGGAGTCCAAGGACATGGACTAAAGACAAAGACCACCGCCTTGAATAAGAAGATGACTTAGGAGAGATGTTGGGGCCCCTCGTGAGAGTGATTTAGGTCACAGTGAAACAAAGACATGCCTATTAGGTGGCAACAGCTTCCATTTTGGCTAATATTATTGGCTTGAGTCAGTGTGGTACAGTGGAAAAGCTCAGGATTTAGAGTCAGAGGAACAGGTTTTAAATCCTGCCTCTGTCACTGACCACCTCTGTAACCTTTGTTAAATCATTAAGCCTCAGTTTTCTTATCAGAAACTGAGGTTCAAATAACCGAAGGTCAGTCAATGAACATTTATTAAGTGCCTACTATGTCTCAGGCACTGTGCTAAGTGATGGGGATACAAAAAGAGGCAAAAGATTATCCCTGCCTTCAAGGAGCTCAGTCTAAGGGGAGAGAGACAACAAGCAAGCAGACATGGAAGAACAAACAGCCTAAATAGGAAACAATTAACTGAGGGAAGGCAATAGAATTAAGAGGGAACGGGAAGGATTTCCTGCGAAAGGAGGGATTTTAGCTGAGACTGAAAGGATGGCAAGGATGAGGAGGGAGAACATCCCAGACATGGGCAACAGCCAGAGAAAACGCCTGGAGTAGAGAGATGGAGGCAGAATTTGAACCCATAACTTCACAGCCAGGGCTCTTAACACTCTGTGATGCTGCCTCTTCAACCCCCTCTTTGGCAGATGAAGAGACATAGGCTCAGGGAGGTCAAGAGACTTGCCTAGAGTCATGCAGGGAGGAGCCATCATGGGCAGCTGCAAACTGGGAAACCAGTGATGTGACTTTCAGATGTAGTTTAAAACATAAGATGTACAAATTGGGCGCAGCATCTCTGAGGAAAGCAAGGGAAAGTGTTCCCATTAGAACCAAGAGACTCCTTTCACAATGGAGGCTAATTCCATATTAGGGGCAAGAAATCCTACCATTGAGTAACAGAGGCAGCCCAGGGTCCTATAAACTTCTAAGGTCTATTCCAGGTCTGTTACTAACTAGTTCTTGGTCACCTGTCCAATGATAACTTTGGTCTAGCCATTGACCGAAAATTTCCTAGCCCTAAGATTCCATAATTCTATGACATAATGGTTGACACTTTAAAAAAGAAAATGGCAGGATCCCACCAAACAGCAAAGAAGAGGAAGGATGCCATTTGTTGGTGGCTTCCTGTTTAATTTATGAGTCTGTATTGATAGCAGAAGCAGGCTGCAGGTCTATCAGAATTGTTTAAAAGAATTTCCCTGGCTTATCACCACTGAGTTAATCAATAGCAACCAACAGACATTTTGAAATATCAACAGGTAATAAAACACATTGTTGCCTTTCAAGAAAAAGAGAAGAGGCCCCATGGAGAGTCAGGGTTCTCTAGGCATTTTACTTCCTACCAAATCAATGCTACTCTTGGAAAGAGAAGCTTCCACCAGGGACATTTTTAGCTTAGAATATTAATATCTACCCTTAACTCAGTAGGTTGAGGTTGTGTGCTGTAGAGGAAAGAAGATGGGTTTGGGAGTCAAAGGACTTAGGATCTTATGATTCTATGACCTAGATTCAAACCTCACTTACTACCTATGGCACTTTTTAAGTGATTGGGCCTCTCTAGGCCTCAGTTTCCTCATCTGCAAAATGAGGGACTTGGAGTAGATGGGAAGAGACATCTGGTCCTACAATTCCATGCCTTTTTTGTCATCTTGTTGTCAACTGGGTTGGGCTCTAGCCTCCAAACCCAAGAACAGAGAATGCTAGGAATGAAGAAGACTTGAATTCAAATCCCACCATCGACCCTTACTAGCTAGCTTTGTTCCCGAAGGTAAATCACGATCACTCTATGGCTTTGTTTGAGATGAGCTATAAAGTGCTTCCATCTCTACGTCTTGATTCTATAACTTGACTCATATCTCCTTGTGTTGCTGCCCATTCTAACTAGTAGGCCGGGCACAATTATCTAGCAGACACAGCGAAGTTTTAATTTACTTATCGTTCATATATTCAAAGAAAAGACTTTTGAGAGTCCCTTGAACAGCAAGGAGATCAAATCAGTCAATACTTAGAGAAATTAACTCAGACGATTTGCTGGGAGGTCAAATACTGAAGTTGAAGCTTAAATACTTTGGCCACATAATGAGAAGATGGAACTCACTGGAAAAGACCCTGATGTCCAGAAAGATTGAGGGCAAAAAGAAAAGGAGACTGCAGAGGAGAAGGTGGGTAGATGGTGTCATGGAAGCAATGAACAAGAGCTTGAACAGACTTTGGGAGATGGCAGAGGACAGAAGGGCCTGGCGTGCTGTGGTCTTTGGGGTCATGAAGAGTTGGACACAACTGAACAATAACAACAAACAATAATTACTCAGCACCTTGTGTGGAACACTGCTACCTTCTGCATTAAATACGTGGCTTGTATGAGACGTGGTCCCAGACCTCCCAGAGCTTACAGTCCAGTTAAGGCAAAGTAAGACATGTACGAATAAAAAGGTAACCAGAGCTTTAAGGCATTGCACACTTGTGCGGCTCTAATGAGCAAGATGTTGTTCAAGCCCAAATCGGACTATCTGAAATTTGAAGGCATTCCTCCCACTTGCCCTGGGGTTCTAGTCCCACTTCTGGCATGCGCCATTTATGCAATCCCAGGCAATTTTCTCAGCTGAAAAACAATTAAACTGAACACAGTGAAATTACAATGGCCAGGGTCTGAAAGAAGAGATTTAGTGATGGTATCTCCCCAAACTTTTTGCGGAGGTGGGGGTCTGTAGGTGTGTAACGCTGCATACAATGTCAGTGACTCACCACGTAGAGTTTGTGCCAGATGACTGCCCATTCTCGAAGGGTAGATGTGAGTTCCTGCACCAAGGGCGCCTCACTGGGAATCACGGTCTCATGTTGCCTAGAGAGAGAAACAGATGAGCCATGGGGTTTCTTGAAGGAGGCTGGGCCAGTGGAAATTGGTAAGGGCCTTGTTTCCAGGCTGGGATGAGGCAAAACTTGGACCCTGGGGGGGGGGGGGTCTAGTAGGAAACTCAACTGAATCTTTGAGATTTGGAGAAAAACTCATTTCATTCAGTTCTCAGGCAATCCCCAAATAGGGCCTGAGCTTGTGAGTGTGAAAGAATCCACAGCCAAGGTTGTCTCCATCCTGGAGTTCTTGAATACCAACTGTATTAACTAAGTTATATCAAGGAGTAGAAGACATGGAGAAAGGAGAATAAAGGAAGGGGAATAAGAATTTGTGTAGCATTTACTATATACCAAGTATTGTGCTAAGTGCTTTACAAATATTCCATTTAAGCCTCACGATAACCCTGGGAGGAAGGTGCTCTTATCATCAATCCCATTTTACAGATGATAAAACTGAGGCAGACAGGTTAAATGATTTGTTCAGGGTCACCCAGCTAGTAAGTGTCTGAAGCTAGATTTGAACTCAGGTCTTCCCGACTCCAGGCCCACTGCTCAGTGCACTGTGGTACCAGCTGAAGAAGATTTATAAGGAAAGCCTGGGTTACCCAGTGGAAAGCTTGGTTGGATTTAGAGTCAATGGACCCGGATTCTAATTCTTATTTTGCCACCCGAGTCATCTTGGCCAAGTCATTCAAACTCTGTAGACCTTGGTTTCTTCACCTGTCACTGGTTCTCCAGTGGGAGAATTAGCCGTGGCGAACTGGTGTACATTTCACTAGATGCTAGTCAGTCGTTCAATAAACATAGATGAAGTAACAGTGCCAAGCTCTGTGCTAACAAGCTCCTTGGCTACAAGAGGCAGAAGACAGTCCCTGCCCTCAAGGAGCTCACAGTCAATAGATAAGCTTCCAATTTGCGATTGAATGGGCATACACAAGGCTCCAGCTCTACCCGCTCAGATATGGTGACTCTCTGGGCCATGGACAAAACACTCTGAGAGCCACTGGCCTAGGTGATCTAACAGGCCCCTTGGAGCTCTAATATTAGGGACGTTAGTCTCTCTTTGCCTGTCTTCTCACTCATTCTTTCTCCCCACACAAATGTTTCCAGAGTTCAAAGAAAGCAGCTTCAGACCCTGGAGAGCACGGGTGGGGGAAGTGGCCTGGCTACCCACCACCAGTCCCAAATGCCCCTGACGGAAGCATCCTGAGTCCCTTCTTCTGTGAGGACCCACAATCCTCCTGGTCTCCAATCCTGCCTGCTCTAGAGGTATGGGACCCCTGGATGCACTCGATCCCTGTAGGAATCCTGGGTCAACATCTGCTTTAGACCTTTCCCCATCTCCTCCATCCCTTCACCCGCCATTGCTCGGGCATTCTCTCTGAGACTACTTCCATTTACAAGGCATAAACCTTGTACGTACTTAACCGTCAGCATGTTGTTTCTCCCATTATATAAATGACAGCAGGGTCTGCATTCACCTTCTTTCGTATCCCTATCACTTAGCACAGTGCCTGGCACACGGTAGGCAATGATTAACTAACAAATCTAAAGTTGACTAACTAATTGGGAAGAGGGATTAAAAAAAAAGAAAAATAGAGAAAAGAATGACGTGGAAAGATGCTTTATAGAATGCTGTTGTTGAGTCATTTTCAGTTGCCTCTGACTCTTTGTGACCCCTTTTTGGGGGTTTTCATGGCAGAGATACTGGAGCGGTTTGTCATTTCCTTCCTCAGCCCATTTTACAGATGAGGAAACTGAGGCAAACAGGGTGAAGTGGCTTGCCCAGGGTCACACAGCTATTAAGTGTCTGTGGCCAGATTGGAACTCATGAAGAGGAGTCTTCCTGATTCCAAGGCCAGTGCTCTGGCCACTGTGCCACCTGGCCGCCCACTTTACAGATGCCCCTCCTCAAATAGGGAAGTGGGGATGGGGGCAGGAGTGGAAAGGGTGGGAAATTCGTAATGATATTTGGCATTTAGGTAATGCTTAAAGTGTTACAAAGTTCTTTCCATATACTATCTCATTTCATAAATGACAGCCATAGAGCTGAAGGGCTCTCAAATGTCACCGAGTCAATGTCCACATTTTACAGTGGCCCAGGGAAGTAACTGACTTGTCTGAGGTCTCCCAGGCCATCGCATGAGCAAGAAGGAGGGATTGAACCCTGGTCCTCTGACTCTTCGTTCAAGGCTCTCTGCATCACACTCACAATCACCCCATAAAGAGGGCACCCTCATCTCCTTCTAATTAACTCATGAGGAAGGTGAGGCTCACAGATATGCAATGGTCACCCAGTTGGCTGCCACGGCTGCCACCTCTCGGGCGTCCTCACAAGCACTCACCCTCGATCCTCCACGGTCGCCTCCTTCAAATGGATGTATGTTTCAGGGAAAATCCCCTACAAAGAGAAAAAAATCAGGTTAGATGGTAGCAAAGCCCCAGCCTCAAAACACAACCACAATCAACAAGGGCTTTTCAAGCATTGTGCCAGGCATTGTGTTAAACCCTGGGGATACAATGATAAAAAAAAATAAAATAAATAAAAATTTGCAATTAATATGCTTATATTCTATCAAGTGAGACAATATATAAATATAACAAAATATCCAGAGGGCAGCTATGGTTCAGTGAAAACAGAGCCCACCTTGAAAACAGAAAGCCCTGGGTTCAAGTTCTGACACATAACCACTGTGTGGTCCTAGGCAAGTCACTTAACCTAAGGGCTCTAGACAATTCTCTAAGACTCTTAAGTTGCAGAGAAGGTCCTGACTTTTGGACTGAATTGATAGGGGAGCTCCTGTTCAATGAAATCGAAGGATCAGCCTCTATCCCTACCCAAAATACGTGCATAGGAGATAACTGGGAGTAGGCAAGAGGCACCAGCAACCAGGGCTAGCCCCTAGCACCGGCTGATAGTCGATGAGCAGTGGAGACCTCGGTTTTCCCTCTTTTCTGCCTATCTGAGGGAAGGAGCCTTTTTTCACTGGGTTGGCCAAGGCTAGAGGCTGTGGATGGGTCCTTTCCAGGCTCCCCATTTTTGATTCACATTCTGGGAGTCCATCATGGGTCAATGAGAATAGGACAGAGGCTGCTAACTCATCCCTTGGCCATATTAGACTTGTGTTCATGGTAGCAACAGAGGGCATCAACGTATGTTCACAGGCTCACGGGTTTAGTACTTCTGAGCCAATCAGTCCAATAACTACATTTTACAGATGACGTTATTGTCATTGAGTCATTTCAGTTGTGTATGTGGCTCTTTGTTGTTGTTGTTTAGTCAATTAGTTGAGTCCAACTTTCCATGATCTCCTTTGGGGTCTTCTTGGCAGAGATACTGGAGAGGTTTGCCATTTCCTTCTCCAGCTCATTTTACAGAGGAGGAAACCGAGGCAAACATGGTTAAGTGACTTGCCCAGGGTCTCACAGCTAGTAAGTGTCTGAGTCTGGATTTGAACTCAGGAAGATGAATCTTCCTGATTACAAGCCCAGTGCTCTATCCCCTTAGTTGCCCCTACAGATGAGATACTTGGGCCTAGGATAGGTTAAATGACTTGCCTCAGGGCGTGGAGATCAGTGGCAAAGTCAGGATTTAAGCCCAGGTTCTTCCAGTTCATTCAGTCAATGAGTCACTTAGCGTATAGCAGGAATCAGAAATAAAAAGAAAGCTAAAACAACATCTGCCCTCAAGCAGCTCACATTCTGAAGGAGAGAGGATGGTAGACAAATAATGAGGTCCATCCAAGCACCCTTTCCTCAGTGCTCCATGGCATCTCTCGTTTTAAAGACTAGGACACATAGACAAGATGGCGTCTGATGGACCTTCCAACTCTGACCTGCCACCATAACACCCAGGCCCTTGGCAGACTCAGTCATGGCCCAAAGAAGCAAACAGAATGACTTGCCAAAAAGTGTCTTGTCAAGATTCTACCATCAGGCTGAACGTTTCCAACACCGTAGCACTAGCAAACCTTATTTTTTCATTAGGTTAAGCTCCTTGAGGATAAGGACTATCTTTTGCTTTTTTAACACCAGTGCTTAGCACAGTACCTGGCACACAGTAGGTACTTAATAAACATTTATTGATTATTTATTGATTGATTGAAGTCACAACTTTTCTAGGCTTGATTTCTGAATTATCTGTAAAATGAGGAAGTGAGACTCAGTGGGTTAAGGCCTCTTCCATCTCGAGATCTACAATACCTCAAGTAGTTTACTCACTGCTGGAGAGATGAAACATGTGTCCCAATATTACAAGTGTAAACCACAGCCTTGCCCTAATAACCCCCTCTTCTGGGATTTTCCAGGCCATGACTGCATCTCAAGAGACAGGAGAGGGTTGACTCTGACAGCAGTGTGTCCTATTCTCAACACATGGCTATTTATATGCTGGTACAGCTAGGGGCAACTAGGTAGTGCTGTGGATAGATCACCGAAGTTGGTTACTAATTGTGTAATCCTGGGCAAATCAGTTTCATCATCTGTAAAATGAGACGCCTGGATTGCAGAGGGCCTTTGGCATCCTTTCTAAGTTCTTATGGGGCAGCTAGGTGGCAAAATGGATGGCAAAGGAGATAGAGGCCTAGAGTCAGAAAGACTCATCTTCCTGAGTTCAAATCTGGCCTCAGACACTTAGCAGCTGTGTTACCGTGGACAAGTCATTTCACCCTGCTTACCTCAGTTTCTTCATCCGTAAAATGAGCTGGAGAAGGAAATGGCAAACCACTCCAGTATCTTTGCCAAGAAAACCCCAAATGGGGCTACAGAGAGTTGGCATGCCTGAAAATGACTCAGTAGCAACAATTACAAGCTCTTGTGACCCCACACTCTCTGAGGAGCCCTTAGAGGTGAGGGGATAGAGCACTGGGCTTATAATCATCTTTAGTGCAAGTCCATTTTCTTGCTTAAGGAAATCCAGTATCAGGAAGGAATCAGGTCAATTAAACTGGGCCAAGCATCCTACATCTGATGGCTGCGTTCCCTAAATTACTTTGGAGAAAGCCGAGGGAAGAGGAGGGGGCAATTTAAAACCAGCAGCGTGATTTCAACACTTACAAAGTAGACCATAAACCATAAACTTCTAGGTAGGAAACCATAAAAGGATTTTAAAATATTTTATTGTCTTACCAAAACATAATTTGTATGCATCATGCATCAAATTATGGAGCTCTTTGGTAAGCTTGCCTTGTAGAATGCCATTACGGGCTGCATAAATCCTGAGTAAACCAGGACGTATTTCTGATTTACAACCCACCTCACTTCAATTCAATCCCCATCCACTAAAGCTACCCATTCACTTGAATCAACTATTAAGCTAGAGATTGGCCAGCCATCCTTGCTGTCCAACCTCAGATCAATAACTCGGCCTGAAATACTCTTTGCTCCTGAAATAGGCATGTCTGCCACTTTTTATCACTCCACACTTTTATCACGCCTGCTTCTAAAGGACATCAAAGTCCCCATTAAAATAATAGGCCGTCCAAATGGGCTCTCAAGACCTGAGAAGTCAAGGCATTGGTCACGGTGGAGCTTAAAAGGACTTCAAAGGGACAAGGAAGAGTCAGAAGTGAATAAATCTTGTCAATGGCCATAGGCAGGACATTGGTTTATTTTTCCTGGGTCAGCTCTCCCAGGAGAAGGCTTCGAAGCTTCTCAAAGGGAGTGTGTGAACCACTCCTCCCCGCAGTAATTTAGTGGGAGGGAAAGGTCACTTTAAACAGCCTTGGAACAAGAAAGCCTTCCCTGGCAGAGCTCCTGGAAGAAGCCAGTGGGCCTTAAGGTGGAAACGGAGAAACAGCCAGAACTTCTCACTCTGATTCTGGTTCAGAAATCCACCCTTCTTCCTTGAAGAGTACATAAAAATTATATACAAGTTAACAAAAAAAGTTACATAAAAGTACATTAAAATGAACAGCCTTCTGTAGTTTCTCTACTCTCTTATACTTTGAGGAAAAGGACTTTATACTAGCCACAGAATCATCAAACGTCAGAAATGGGAGGGGCCCTAGAACAGAAGATATCAGGGATTGGAACACCCTTAGAACAGAGAATGTCAGAGCTAGGGAAAGGTTTAGAACAAGGAATGTCAGAGCTGGGAGGGAATTTAAAATGTAAAATGTTACAGCTAGTAGGGGGTCTTAGAACATAAAATTGCAAAGCTGGGAGGATCCTTAGGACAGACATAAAAGCTAAGAGGGACTACAGAGTACAGTGTTAAGACATGATACTGTTAAAGAAACTGAGGCCCAGAGAATCTATGTGACCTATCCAGGCTGCATAGCAAGCCAGTGGCAGATTTGGAATGGGGAGCCCAGGCACCTGCCTCCCACATCCCCTCTGTCATACGATTGAGATTCACCACTTATTATCTACCTCATCTTTTTGGGACTCCTATTCCTTGAGTAACCGCATGCACGTGAAATTGAAAGCCAAGAGTTCTGTGTGTCTCCGGGATTTCAGTGCTCTTGTCTGTGCCTGCTTTTTAAAAAGTCAGCTTCTTTGAAGAACTGGAAATTAATGAACCATCAAGGTCCATTGCTTTATGTGCGCTTAGGAGGTGCAGGACCCCAGGCCTGGGAAAATTCTAATTGTCCTTTGAAACCTCCACTGGCTCCTCAGTGAACAGCACCATTTGTGCTGTAAAAGCCAGCCTCCACTGCGCATCAGGGGTGACGTCCAACATCGAGGCGCAGAATCTGGTTAAGTATTGGTATTTGCTTTGGAGATTCCTCCGTCATACTCTGGCTTATTTCTGAGCCCAAAGACAGTTCAGACGCTTTGGTACAAAGTCAGTGGGGGAATAAAAGTGAAAACTGGAAACGAGATTGACGCTTTGGTCAAGGGGAGAGACTGAGGTCAGGAAGGCCTGACACAGAAGTTTGGATTCAGTCAAAGGGCCGCTCTTGAGGACCGAGAGGGCCATCTGTGGCTTCGAGGCCGCAGGTTCCCCACGCCTGATTCTAGGAGATAGGAAGAAAGTTTTGCATTTCCTTCTCCGGCTCATTTTACAGATGAGGAAACTGAGGCAAACAGGGTTAAGTGACTTGCCCGGGGTCACACAGCTAGTGAGTGTCTGAGGCCAGATTTGAGGTCAGGATGAGGAGTTTTCCTGACTTCAGGCCAGGCACTCTATCCCCTGTAGCACCTAGCTGCCCTGCAGTGTGGCTGATCTTAACTTAAGCATTCTAAGTTTCTTTTTGAGTTACCATTACTAAAATAAACCAGAGTCATAGGATGCCAGACGTAGAGCTAGGAGGACCTTAGAGGTTGTCATGCCCAACACCTCCATTTGACAGACAAAGAAACTGAGTCTCAAAGAGGGTAAGTGACTTCACCGAATCACGGATTCAGAGTTGAAAGGGAGCTTTGAAGGTCATCTAATCCAATCCCTTCATTTCCGTGATCAGAAAACCAAGACGCTCAATGAATTTCCCAAGGGTGCACATGATGAAATGCAGAGCCAGGATTCAAATCCAGATCTTCTGACTTCAGATCCAGAATCCTCATTAGAGGCAGATTCCAGCCCAGGTGCCTGACTCCCAAATTCACCCTGCTTCCCCTGCACCAACCACTCTGTCTGCTTTTGTGAATTATCTTAATTGGCCACTTAATTGGCAGACTCATGGGCTGCAGAAATCTGCTCAACCCAGACAGATGACACCCCTCTCTGCACACCTCAGGAGGAAGGTACAGCCACCTAGCACACGGCAGATGCTGGTGCTAGGGCTTGCTGTGATTAACCAGACAGGTCCTGGAAGGATAATTCCCTGCTCAGACAGCACCCAATTTCTTTCTAGGGCCATATATCCTAACAGAGCTTATTGTTTGCCCTTTGTTCTCAAAGAGGACCATGACATCAAGGAGGTGATGCCATGACTTGCAAGTGAATTAGATTTAAGTGAGGGAGGGCTGTGCAAAGTCACCAGCCTCATTCTCTGCTCTGGAGCCATCTGGGTCCAGTGACAAGATATAGATCAGGACGACTGAAGATGGCCCCCATCTTTTGCAAAGCTTTCAAGAGCCCAACATTGCCTCCATGCCCCAAGGAGGCAATTGAGTAGGGCTCCAGAGAATGGCCTTGTTAAGTCCTGAAACTGTAACTTGGTACTTTGCCTTCCCAGCCCTGAGGAAAGACACTGCAGCCTAGCCCATTTTCAATGAGGAAAGAGTCACGGCTAAGGGGCACCCCTGAGCTTAGGAATCAGGGAGGACCATTGGACCCTCACCAAAACTGAGGCCTCAGATAGAGCAACACCCATTGTTGACTGTTAGAGTAACTGTGTTCTGGGGGATAGGAGAAGAGCAGAAAGACCTCTCATCTTCTCCTGCCTTGAATGACCCCTGGTCTTATCCCTTGGCCTGACTCACTGTCACCTTCTCAAACTGGCTGGCTGGATACAACGTCACTTTTACCCAAAGGAAAATTCCCAGTTTAGTTAGCATAGTGCCTGGCATACAGTAAGTGCTTAATAAATGCTTGCTGATCTACTGATGCTTCCTTGAGGATCATGTTTAACTGTCCTATTGGCAGTCCCTATGGAGATCTGAGAATCTGCTTTCGCTTCTAAATGAGGTAAAACCCTGAAGAGAAAAATCAGAGAGTGGAGCCTAATCAGATAGCATATAATGCAACCTGTTTCACAAGCAATGCAAAGCAGTGGGAAAAAATCAGATAAAAGGCAAAAAACAAAAACAAAGAAAAAAACCTACCTTTTTAGCCTTATTCCTCAGCGTGTATCCTCTGAACCAACCTGTCAGGGCACAAAAGAACACACAATCCTTTATCTAAACAAAGACCATCCCCAGATCTTGGCAAGGTGCATTCTGATTCTTCATCACCAATGTTGGCAGAGAACTAGGGAGAACAAACAAGAAACAGCTGATTGGACACAGTGGATTGCATCTGAAAGGCTTGTTTTTCTTGGAACCATACCTGGACAAGAAGGATGTAGGATTTCATCACCGTTGGGGAAATACTAGTATGGGAATGCCCTCCACTGATGCCAGTTGTAACCCATATGTTACATACTTCTTAGGGACCTCTTCTGAGGTTCAAATAAGATAATATATGCAATGTGTTTTTGGAAACTTCAAACATATAAATGTCTATTTATTATTATTAGTAGTACCATTATTATTACTTCTATCAAAATCACAACTTCTTATTAGGAAAAATTGCCATACCTAGACCCCATTCTACGCTATCATTTTGGAAGCTTGCCAAATGCCCTAGGGCTATGACTTGGGAAACTACAGGAGAATCACTACCTCTAGTTAAATTCAACAAACTTAAAAAAAAAACACGTTTTTATTGACCTTTTTTTTTTAAATATCACCTTTATTTCTGAATTTATCCTTCCTCTTCTAGCCAGCAAGCCACCTCTTGTAATAAAGACTAAAAAAGAGGATGGGAGCAGGGAAAAGCAGGTAAACAAAACCAATCAATGCATCAAGCAAGCTTGACAGTACAGTCCACACACCCAGAGTCCTCTGTCTCTGCAGAGGATGGAGGGAAGTCATTTTCCAATGTCCTAGGTAGAAAAGGATCATGGGATCTCATAGCTCCAGAGCAGGAAGGCACCTCTGAAGGATACCTAGTCCGATCTCATTTTGTAGATTAGTCAGCTGAGGCCGAGGGATCCCAGAATCAGAGATCTAGAGATGGAAGGGACTTTAGAGGTCATCTAGCCCACCTCCTTCACTTTGCAGATAAGGAAACTGAGGCTCAGAATGGTTAGGTGGCTTCTCTGAGGTCATCCAAGTAGGACTAGGATTTGAACCCAGGACCTATAACTTCGCGTCCATTGCTTTAAGCACTAGAGGCAGGTTTGAACCCAAATTCTCCTCCTTCACTATGTCGAGCTCCACCTCCTTATCCAGGACCAACTTCAGTCACTATATTACATTATATACATATACACACACACACATATACACACACTATAATTAACTATTGTTATTTTTTCCATTCAAATTCCTGTAGTCATTGAGCCTATTTCAATGAATAATTAAGTCCCCACTATGTGCCAGGCACTTTGTGAGGCATAGGGGATTTGAAGACAAAAATACAAAAGGGAAGAAAGGAGAGCAGAGCAGAGCAGAGGAGAAAAAAAAAAAGAGAAAAAAATAGGACTTTTACAGATGAAGAAAGTGAAGCAAGACAATAGCATTATAATAACAATAATAATAAACATTGCAGGCTTAGGAGAGCCCTGATGAACTCTAAGTTCTTGGCTAGCCCAGGGGTGGTTCTTAATCATTTTTGTGTCCTGGGCCCATTTGGAAATCTGAGGAAGCCTATGGACCCCTTTTATGAATCATGTTTTTAAATGCACAAAAAAAAATCATGCATAAAATTAAGCACATGGTATTACAAAATTATTTTGAAATACAATTATCAAATTATTTTAAGAATAAGTTCATAGAACCCATGGTATGAACTCTTGCTCTAGACCATAGGTTTTAAAACATATTAGGCCTACCCCCCCCTTTTAAAAAAATTGCCCACCACCACCCTGGAAATCTACTTTCTTTAACCCTTTAATGTTTTTTTTTTAAATTTGCATCATTTTAAAAATATAAATTTTTTTTCAAAAAAAAGGACACATCTTAAATTTAATAATTTATTGTAAAGTTGTGAGATTCCTGAATTGAAATTTTGATGATGCAATATTGCATCATGTAAACATATTGTGTCATATTACATGCACATATTCCTGCAGATGCATGCTGGACTTCCTGACAATGTACTATGTGCTCACCTGCCAACACTTGTTTGTTAAGACCTGTTGGCAGATTTGACCAGTGGTTGGTTATAACTTGCATTTTATGTGTTTATCTGGAAAATAATATAGTCACCATGACTTTAACTCTGTTACACAGTGGATAAAACATGTATGAACGGTTTTTCAAAATTTTCTTCTCTTCTTTCCTTATGCTTCCACTGCCCTCTTATTTTTATTCAGTGCCCCATAATTGTAGCTGAGACTACTACCGTGACCCCCCCGTTCATTGTTCCAGTGCCCCCAGTGGTCGGTATTGCCCACTTTGGGAATCTATGCCTACAACCGTGGATTTAAAGTCAGAAGGGACCCTTAAGAGGTCATCGAGTCATCTAGTTTAGCTAAGTGACTTGCCCCAAGATCTCCCATTGTTACCCATTGTATCTACTGCATCACACTGCCTCTATCCAATGTACCACACTGCCTGGAGAGAGCCAAGTGCCAAAAATTCCAGAATCTCAGAAGGAATGGGGTTCTCCCTTCCGAAGAAGAGGAACAAAGAATCACAAAATATCTCCAAGTTGGAAGTGGCCTCACAGGCCATCCATGACCACTCAGACATGAAGGAGGCCTTCTACATCATACCCAGCGTGAAGCTATCCAGGCTTGGCACGAAAACATTATTATGACCTGAACTCAGTGAGGGTAGCCAGATGCTGCCTGACCTTATAGCAAATTATCTGTGGTTTCCACTGCCTGAAAACCAGTTAAAAAAAATCTTTCCTATGAAAAGATCATTGTCCTTGGAAGAGAAAACAGAAGCATTCAGAATCTCACATCTTGCCATCTGCCCTTCCTCTCTACACATGTCCCATCACCATCACATTCCACACCCCACCTCCATTCCTACAATTCTCCACCTCTTGCTCTGGGAAACAGTAAACATCTCAATACCACCATTGCTTCTAAAAAAGAGGCATCAATCAGTTATCCTATAGCTCCACTGGCCATCTCTCTGAATGTTAGGACCAAAGCACCGCCCCCTCGCTGGTCGTCACTCCCCTATGTCTTGTCTTATCCTGTTGGTGTGTAAACTCCTAAAAATATTTTCCTCATTTAGTATTTAAATCTTCAGCATCTGCCACAGTGCCTGGGACATAGCAGGTACTTAAATAAATTATTTTCATTCATTCATTTATTCATCCTCCATCCATCCATTCTATCTTCCCTAGTCCCAGCAAATGTTGAGCCACTAATATTTATTGAGTTGCCAAGAATGACTTGAATGTGAGTCCTGGGAACTGGTCCTAAGTCACACTCCTGCTATGCTCAGGAGGTGGTCCTAGACTGCAGATATTTCTCTCTCTGAGGCCAGTTCTCTATCTACCACCTCACAATGCCTCTCATGTATAGGTATACTGCTATACTTGATTCATCAGATTAGTTTCCTCTTGCTTCGTGCCAGAGAAGGGCAGAAAGTGCCCAGTCCAGTGTCCCAGGTCTTTCACTTATTACCTCAATTTCCTCCTCTATAAAACAGGTACCTTGAGTTGGCTAAATCTATGATCCTATGATGGGAGGCTGGCCCTGAGCGTGCTCCCAAACTTCTTGCCAATTTTTTTCCCTTCCTTTTTATCCTCCTGAATAGAAGGATACTTGACTCCATCCTCCAACAACCCCCTACACTTCCCTGCTGGAAGAGACCTAGAGCATGCACCCCATTACTAACCTTAGCCCCATTGTCCACTTCTCAGGGGTGCTTGCTCCCTTGCAAGCACCCTACCTTTAGGGGCAAATACCCCAATGTTTCTTAAGGATTCATGAACTTTTCCACTCACGATGCTACAATACCCGTAGTAGTCATTTAGTTAATAAGCATTTATTAAGTGCCTACTATGTGCCAGGCATTGTGTCAACTACTGGGGACACAAAGGCAAAAACAAACAAACAAAAACAACCAGTCCCCACTGTCAAGGAGCTCACAATCTAATGGGGACTACATGAAAACAACTATATACAAACAAGCTACATAACGGATAAATGAGAAATAATGACCAGAGTGAAGGTGCTAGAATGAAGAGGAATTGGGAAAGCCTTCCTGTAGAAGGTGAGCTTTTAGCTGGGACATGAAGGAAGCCAGAAGGTAGAGTTGAGGAAGGTGAGATTCTCCAGGGATGGAGAGCAGTCAGTAAAAATATCCAGACTCAAGGGATGGAAAGCCTTGTTAGAGGAACAGCAAAGTAGGCAGCATCAGTGGATGGAAGAGTATGCTGGTGGGTATAAAGTATAAGAAGATTGAAAAGGCAGGAGGTGGGGGCTAGGTTATGAAGGAATTGGAATGCTAAACAGAAGATTTTGTATTTGATCCTGGAGGTAATAGGGAGCCACTGGAGTTTCTTGGAGTCAGAGGTGACGTGGTTGGATCTGTTCTTTAGGAAAATGACTTTGCTGGCTGAATGGAGGATGGACTGGAGTGGGAGAGACTTGTGGAGGGCAGAGGAAACCAGCAGGCAATTACAGTAGTCCAGGTGTAAGGAGAGGAGGGTTAGGGTCGGGGTAGCAACAAGAGAGAGATGTTGAAAAGATAAAATCAACAGACTTTGGCAACAGCTAAGACATGGAAGGCTGAAGAGAGAGTCAATATCTAGGTTGGGAGCATGAAGCAATAGAAGGATAGTGGTGCCTTTGACAAAAATAGGGAAGTTTAAAAGCAGAGAGGGTTGGGGGTGGATGGGGGGAAAATAAATGAGTTCAGTTTTGAACATGTTACTGGACATCTAGCAGATGAGAAAGCAGAGAATTTAGGGCTAAATCAGTAAATTTGGTAATCAATTATACTGGGATGCTAACTAAGTCTATGGAAGCTGATGAGATCACCAAGTGAAGTATTATAGAGGGACCTATAATGCCTCTGGACCTTTCTACCCAGCAGCTAAAAGGCCTCCTATGTCTTGTTTTCCCCACTTAGAGTGTAAGCCTCTTGAGAGTAGAGACTGTCTTCTTTTTTCTCTTTTTAACAAATTATTTTC